GAAAAGAGGAAATTGTTCGTATGTTTGTCTGAAGGTTGTTCCATAATGAGACACATTTGTATTTTACGGAGGATTGTGCTACTGACGTTCTTGCAAGGGGAATATGGAAATGAGCACTTTGTCAAGTTTGGTAAGTATGAAAATGGAAATTAAGATTTAAAAGACCATTAAATGTGTCTGGAAGAGAACAGTTTAGGAATTTTAACGTAAATAGCATCAGGTGAAGTCTGTTTGTATAAAGAATATTCAAAATCTTAAGTTTTGTAAACAAAGGTGCAACTAGGGGCTGTAGTGTGGTTTTGTAGGCGCATCCCCAGACTATATTCCCGTAGGTTAGATATGGGTATATTAAGCTATTGTATATGGTAATAATGGTTTTTTGAGTAAGAAGATGTTTAAGTTTTCCAATAATACCGATAGTTTTTGAATTTGTTTTTAACTAACATAATTATATGTGATTTCCAGGTCAATCGTTCATCAATGATTATACCTAAGAATTTGGCTTGACTCTCTTGAGAAAGGGGCACGCTTTTTAAAAAGATTTTGGCGCTTCTGTTTTAGGTTTTATTTCTATTACAGAAAATAAGGTAGTATGTCTTCTTAACATTGACTGATAATTTATTTGCCTCAAACCACGATATAACCTTTTTCAATTCTTCGTTAGCCAGGTTTACTAGCCTATCAAAATTCAAGTTTGAAAGAAAAAGATTTGAATCATCTGCAAATAGGATAAAGAATATAATTGAAGATGCTTTTTCGAGGTCATTCATATAAATCAAAAAAGTAGCGGTCCTAGTATCGAACCCTGTGGGACACCACATTCTATTATTTTAAGTTGTGATTTATTATCATTAAGGGTTACGTATTGCTGTCTATTGGTTAGATAAGAAGAGAACCATTTTATTGCGGAGTCACATATACCATATCGTTTTAGTTTATTGAGTAGAATGGAATGATTAACTGTATCAAAGGCTTTAGATAGATTGAGAAAGATTCCTAAAGTGTATTCTTTGTTATCTATAGCGGTAGAAAATTTTTCCATTAAGTGTATGAGTGCTAGAGAAGTAGAACAGCCCTTTCTGAAGCCATATTGGTGTTTACATGTATATAGGATGTTATTTTGATTTAAATGTTTCAGAAGACGATTGTATACTAGTTTTTCCAAGACCTTAGATACGCAGGGAAGGACAGATATTGGTCGATAGTTATTAACGTTAAGTGGATCACTGCTTTTAAAAATACGTGTCACTTTTGCGACTTTTAGTGGGTGAGGAACAACTCCATTTTGCAAGGATAGAGACAGAATATGCGTTAGAGGGGCAATAACATAGGGCAGTGACAACTTTAGTACTTTTAGGGCTTATTTCGTCATGACCAGCAGCCGAGTCTTTTAAGTTTTTGATAATATCTGTAATTTCAGCACCAGTTGGTGGTATAAAAGTTGATAGGTTAGAATTTACTTGTAAGGTGATGTAGCTAAGATGGTCTTGTATTCCTTTAGGGATTTTACAATCAAGTGTAGGTCCAATATTAATGAAAAAATCATTGAATTCGTTAAATATTTCATCTTTATTTTCGGTAGTTTTTGTACCAATTTGTATTTTGTTTGGACAAGCTGTTTTACTTACGATTTAAAACGTCATTTATCATGTTCCATGTTTGTTTTATATTACTGGTGGCTTCATTGAACTTTCGGTGGTAGTATTCCTTCTTTGCAGTTTTTAGATGATTCAACTTATTCCGGTATTTTTTATAGATACTGTGGTATAAGGGCGTCGGGTTCTTGACATATTTAGTAAAGAGCTTGTTTTTTCTTGATTCTTCTTCTTTTTTATTGACTTATACAATCCACTGCTTAGCCAGGGTTTTCTGCGAGAATGCTGGGAGATTTTTGTAATTTTCTTTGGGAAACATTTTTCGTATAACGATCCGTATGTTTCAAAAATTTATTATATGCTTTTTCTGTGTCTGTTTCGTTTAATACGTCGCTCCATACTATTTCTGATAGGGATTGTGTAAATTTCTGAATGTTCCTATCAATATTGTTCATAGATTCCTTTATGCGCTCATTGAATTCTGTAATGTCAGTATTTGGTGGGCGATACACACAGCTCAATATAGTTTTTTTCTCCTTCGGGTTACTTGGAATGATTTCAATGAATATACTCTTTGTGCCTGTGTCGTCGATAACAAATTCAAGGTCAGATCGTTTCTTATGTATAGTGACCCCCCCCCTCCAGATCTATTCTTTCTGCAGTGGTGTATACTATTATAACCAGGTATACTATAATTTTCTGTGATATTATCTGTTAGCCATGTTTCTGTTATTGCAAGAACTGTAAAATTTTGGTGCAGGGAGGAGAGATATTCATTGAGCTCATCAAAATGGCATGGAAGGCTTCGTACATTTAAGTGGAACAAAGATGTTATATAACAGTTACAAGATTTATTAAAGGATTCAGCAGTATAATATTGGGAAGTTGTATTTATAGAAGTGTAAAAGTCATTAAGAAAGTTTGTATCAGGATCCAGTGGGGAAATTTGTGACTCATTGTCTAAATCATTTAGTTCAGAAGGGTTAATTTTTTTTTATTCGTTTATCAAAGAGATGTACATACAGCAAAAAACAGTGTGACAAGCCCCTCATAATACAAATATACTAATACACAGTATACATATTTGTGATGTGACATTTTACGAAGAATGTTTGTCTCGAAAATCATGAAAATAATGCATTACAGAAATAAGGTTTCTTATTTAATGCTGTACTCTTATAGATGTCATATTTTGCAGAAAGTAAACAGTGGTTCAGGTATATATTTTTTTTCCATCTTTTCAATTATACCATACAATATAACAATTTTTGTTAGTGCGATATGTTCAGAAAAAGTGTCGAGCCACCATAGGCGAAAGTCATTCCAAAATTTAGTAACATAACTACAATCCACAAATAAGTGACTTAGATCTTGTTTACTATCACAAAAAGGGTTAAATATCAGGGTGCTGGGTTGTGGGGGTTTTTAGTTCATGGTGGGTGTTCAAGGGTTATTTGACTCAGCTCAGGAACAGTTCAGGAATTTCCAATCGTGTCTTCAGTGTCTGGAGTCGGCTCTAGTGCGTCTGCGATCTGTTCCTCCCTCCCCAGGTGGGTGTACAACGAGTTTATCATATTTCAGGTACGCGATGTTTCCTCGCGTACCTGAAATGTACCTAAAACCGTGAAATTACTCAAAGATAGCTGCCACTATATTTGCCAATGAGTTGATAGCCGCACTCACAACAGAAATACTTCTGTGGGGCTCGAGAGGTGTAGCATTGTGCATGGGTGTAACGACTAGCGAATAGAGACGAATAAGGCCCGGAGTAAACAAAGGCTGACTACAGGTAGCAAGCCCTTTGACCCTCCCGAGTTATTATGATATCCCGTAGCGCAGCAGGGAACAAAACACGGCGTCACTCTTAACAACCTCCTGCCGGGGGCAGCAAGGTTACAGTATCGTACCGAGAACCGTCAACAACGGCTGTACCCAGGAGCAGGTCACCACACTTGCTACACTGCTTGAGCAAGGATAATGTCCTTGGCTTGAGCGACATTTTTTAACCCTAGAAGGTAACTACCAGGTGTTACATGGGCAAATTTACAAGTATGTCCCTTACTACAGGTGTACTGCAGTGCGCAAAATGACACTTCAAAACCTAAATTAATTGTTTATATAACCAAGTAGTCACCTTTATTTACAGGTTGTCAACAACTTGCCAGAGGCCGTGTTTTCGTGATACCCTGTAGGGACAAACCCCACATGTGTAAGTAGGGATACAGGACAGTCGCAAGGTATAGCCTATCCAAATATATGTAAATACATCATCATAGTCCTTTACATCCTGTCGGACGATCAGTTCACAGTTGAAATGCATATGAAAATACATATAGGAGAAAAAAACTACAGATGTGACCTGTGTGACTTTCCAGCTGCACGAAGAGGGCATTTAGACAAACACAAGGCTAAACACACTGCTGAGAAACTCAGTATGTGAGTGTATTGCGGATGGCAAACATATCTCATCTGTCCCGTATAGAAAGAACCATGCAAGAAAACTGTAAAACCAGTTAGAAACCGTCTGACTTTTAGTGGAAAGTACAGGTGAAAAATGTTATAAATGAAACATATATGACTAGATATTTGCATGGATAATAAACAGCAAAACATAACAAAGCTTATATTTCTGGGGATGGTGGAACCGGTCTTTCCGACCTAACCACGAAAAAGAAGCGTACGCTTGAAAACCGTCAAATGTAACTTGTTTGTCAAAATGGCGGATATGTTTGTTAATCAATCAATCAAGCCGCAGGCATCAGAGTAGATGCATAGCGGCTGTAGCCATGTCCCTCCAGGATGTTCTGTTTGTTAATGTTCAAGTTTTTTATGTCATGGTAGACAAATGATAAGAATATGACACTTGAGTTGGTAATGTTTATTTATTTTATCCACATTTTGTTTTATTCACAAGGTTGTGCATTACTTCTATTCTGTGGATAGGGAACTGGAATACTTATGTTACATTAAGTACGCGAAGAAGGAATATTGATACCCTAGCACTAATCATCATAATACTAATACTCAAACGAAAAAAAAAAGTCATAAAATTCCTTAGGTTTAGATATTATACTGAAACCTTTTCAAACTGCTTGGACTTTGTTATCAATTAGCTCATGTTGTGAAATATTATCCACATATCATGTAATATTCTTCATCATCACAACAGCCACTTTGCAAATAATATATTCTTCATTTTACGTCTTTTTCTTCGACTCTCTAAAGACTTCAATTGTAGTAGATGCAGAATAAACAGTTGTTCAAACTGTTAGAGCAAACAAAAGAGCAATATATCATGCAAGATGTCCATAACGGCAAAATCACAGATCTGGGTAATCAGGTATCTCAATTTTGACCTTTACCCCTTAATTAGTTTGACCTGCGACCTAGCCTGTGCGCCATTTTGAGACGTGCGAGGGTGTCTTTCTCTCCAATCTGCAATCTGAGGCGATTTCCAACTTACTTCTACTCTAAACCTACGTTTGGCAGTTTTGACATACAGGTAAGACCTTGTTGACCTTCTATATTCCCTGTGTCGCGGTACCGCAGCAGATAATTCAAATCGTGATGCGTGAATTATCTAAGGTATACATGGGGAGGGGGGCAGATCGACCTAGATAGGACACCTGATACTCCAATTTACAAAGTGAATGGATACATGTCTTTCCAAATATACTGGTCATGGAGGATCGCAGGAATACTAGTACATTAGAATGTCGATATAAATAGTATGGACATATTTATTATGTTTCAATTCCCTATGCTTCATTTTTGGCGTGGGTTCGTATCCCACTTCTGACACCAATGTAACACAGAGAAAGTAGTAACTCGAAGGTTGACTCTGACCCCCGGGAATCGAACCCGCGCCGCTCGCGCGGCGTGTCAGCTCACAACCAGTGCACACACCGATTCACCCAAAAGATCCAGGATCCCTTGGGCGGGTAGTTAGTGACGCCTATATACTCGCTGTTACATATGTAAACGTTGTCGACGCTTCAATTTGAGAGATTTTATCCTTGCTTCCAGAAAATTATGATGGACCGGAGAAGCAGTGAGATTCCTTTGGACAAGCTGCCAACTGTGCACCCTGGGAACGAGACAAGCAGCAGCGAGGACTCGACAACAGACACGGGAGGACAGCAGGACAAGGAAAAGGACATTCTATCGGAGGAAACGCACGGGGTTAACTGGGTAAACTCTGTCTATCCTCCCGTACAGAGTCAAACAGAGCAGACGGACGGGCCTATGGTGAAAGGTACTGTGGACAAACGTTACAAATGTGACCTCTGTGACTATTCTACTGCACATAAAATCAATTTAGACATACACATGGCTAAACACACCGGAGTTAAACCCTACATGTGCGGGGAGTGTAAATACAGGACGGCTGACACTTCTAACCTAGCTGTACACATGAGAAGACATACAGGAGAGAAACCCTACAAGTGTGGCCAGTGTGACTATGCTGCGGCACAGAAAGGGACTTTAGACGTACACATGGCTAAACACACCGGAGACAAACCCTACATGTGCGGGGAGTGTGGATACAGGACGGCTGACAGGTCTACCCTATCACGTCATATGAGAAAGCATACAGGTCGGAAACCCTACAAATGTGACCAGTGTGACTATTCTGCTGCACAGAAAAGTGATCTCGAGAAACACATGTCTAAACACACCGGAGAAAAACCATTCATGTGTGGGGAGTGTGGATACAGGGCAGCTTACAGGCGTAGCCTATCAGTACATTTGAAAAAACACACAGATGAGAAACCTTATAAGTGTGACCAGTGCGACTATTCTGCCACACGGAAAAGCAATTTAGACAAACATATGACTAAACACACCGGGGAAAACCCTACATGTGTGGAGAGTGTGGATTCCAAACGGTTTACCAGTCTTACCTAACTGTACATATGAGAAAACATACAGTTAAGGGACCGTACAAGTGTGACCAGTGCAACTTTTGTGGCAATCAGAAGCGTGATTTGACCCACCATATGGCCCACCACGACAAACCCTACATGTGCGGGGAGTGCGGGCACAGGGCGGTCAACAGGTCTCATCTAACTGTACACATGAGAACACACACTGGTGAAAAACCCTACAAATGTGACCAGTGTGACTATTCTGCTACACAGAAATGTGCTTTAGTCCGTCACATGACTAAACATACCGGAGGAGACAAACCCTACATGTGTGAGGAGTGTGGATACAGGGCGGCTGACAAGAATCGGCTAACCGTGCATATGAGAAGACATACGGGTGAGAAACCATACAAATGTGACCAGTGTAACTTTTTTGCTTCTCAGAAATGTAGTTTGAACCGACATAAGGCTAGACACACTGAAGACAAATCCTACATGTGCGGACAGTGGGTACAGGACTGCTGACAGGTGTATCCTAATCACACATATTGCCACAACACACGATCGAATAGGACAGGGCTCGGAATTAATTTTTGGCAATAGGTGCACTGGTGCACCCAACCTAAAAAAAATGTGTGCACAAAAAAAATTGGGTGCACAATATTAAAAAAAAATGTTTCATTTCTAAAGAAAAGTAGTACAAGAATCATGAATAATTCTATTATTTTCTGACACTTAGATGTTAAACGTATGCTGCATGTTTACAACTATACACCTTGATATACATAAACCTACAAAAATTTTGGATGCACTGGTGCACCCACAGGAAAAAAAAATGGGTGCACAGATCCAGATTTAGGTACACTAAGGTGCACATGCACCCAGTATTTCAAGCCCTGTAGGAGAAACCCTTCAAATGTGACCAGTGTAACTTTCCTGCTGCATTGAAATCTCTTTGAATTGAAAGTGCAACCACACATTCTGCATTGATGTCAACAAACATACGATGACATTTAGATAATTGAGGCATTTAGATTATTAATTGGTATCTTTGATGATTAATTGGTATCTGTTAAATATGTAATTGTATATTTTTAAATATGCACTGCGTCTTTTAAATATGTATTGCATCTTTTAAATATGTATTGTCACCTGTTCGCCGTTTGCAAACTTTTATGTACATGTGAACTTGCAAGTCAGCTAATAAGCTGCGATGAGTTTGCATCGCATAATAACAATAAACCATTCTATACCGACAGGGTTCAGAACTATCCTCCATGCACGTGTGTCAGGGCTCGAAATTAATTTTTGGGAATAGGTGCACTGGCTTCCTTAAACATTGGGTGCACAATTTTTTTTGGCTGCACCATGTAAGACAATATAAGTAGAATGTTGAAGCAAGATCTAATCATGTTTAACTTCTAAAGAAAAAAAAGTACCACAACAATGATTTTACAATGTATTATTTTTCTGACATTTAGATATCAATTATATTAAGTAGTATATCAAATACTGGATACTGTGTAGTGTGTAAGTAGTGTATACAGTACTGACTAAGCTATGGGAGAGTGAGAGAGAGTGATACAGCACTACTATACGTAGTACGTCGGGTGGCGTAGTGGTAGATCATTGGACTGTGAACCGGGAGACCCAGGTTCGATCCCGAGTCGTACCAGAACCAAGTGCCAGGGGCAAATTTACGTTATTGGAACTGTGTCTCATCCTAACCCTAAACCCCTTAATCCTAACCCTAAACCCCTTCCTTCAACATATTATGTGTGCTTGATGTGTGTGTATGTGCGTAATGTGTGTGTAAGTGTGCGTAATGTGCGTGTATACAATGTATGCAATGTGTGTGTGTGTGTGTGAGTCTGTGTGTGTGAGTCTGTGTGTATGTGTGTGTCTGTGTGCATTATGTGCGTGAGTGCAATGTGTGTGTGGATGTGTGTGTGTGTATTTGTGTTTACCTCGTTGAGTAATGAGTAACAACCTCTGTGTGTGTGTGTGTGTGTGTGTGTGTGTGTGTGTGTGTGTGTGTGTGTGTGTGTGTGTGTGTGTGTAAACATTTACTAAAAATAACATACCGGTATTAAACCTATAAAAAAATTTAGTTCCTTTTTTTCCATTTCATTATTTTTCATTATTCATTCAGGGCTACAATAATATCTGCGTGGAGAGGACACACAAACATCCTGTCTCACTAACACACAGGCATCATCTGACACACAAACATCCTGTCTCACTAAAACACAGTTCAAAAACTACAGAGGCGCATTGAACCATAATAGTTCTTTTTTATTGTAGCAATCACCAATCTTAATAGTCTCAATTACGGACAGCAGATTTAACAGTGGTAACAAACTGTTACATTGTTACAGTCTTGAGTGTTACAGCGGTATTAAACTGTTACATTGTTACAGGCTTGATTTTTACAGTGGTATTAAACTGTTACATCGTTACAGACTTGATTGTTACAGTGGTAATAAACTGCTATATTGTTTCAGTCTTGAGTGTTACAGCGGTTTTAAACTGTTACATTGTTACAGTCTTGATTGTTACAGCGGTATTAACTGTTACATCGTTACAGGCTTGATTGTTTCAGTGGTAATAAACTGCTATATTGTTTCAGTCTTGAGTGTTACAGCGGTATTAAACTGTTACATTGTTACAGTCTTGATTGTTACAGCGGTATTAAACTGTTACATTGTTACAGTCTTGATTTTTACAGTGCTATTAAACTGTTACATCGTTACAGGCATGTTCATATGTCACAGATTCTTCAATAGCTCCGTCAAATATCCATATAACATGACATTTACAAATCTTCTAACGTCATTGATTTACAATGAAGTTCTTTTACATGCTGGTGCTTCAATCCTAGACTTAGATGCTTCTTACTAATAACACGTTATATTGGCACCGTAAGCCTTTCCTTCCATGACAGAACCATCATTTTTTTTTACTTGTTCCAGGTGTTGTCTTCCCAAATTTCACTCAATTCGAGTGTTGCTAGTTTTTTTTCCAAGTAAATGTGATATGATTCGGCCATCAGAAGAACATTGCATACCTTGTTTAAAGAAGTAATAATAAGTAATAAAACTGTGCATGTTATATTGGTAAGCTGTCAACTTCTACCACAGAATCACCATTCCTAAACCTGCTACTTTCGAAATATTCAGGAAAACTTACATCTGAATGTTGCCCTCATTTTTATCAAGTAAACTTGATATGATTCTGCCATCAGAAGGACATTGTGTGCCTTGTCTAAATAAGTAATAACAAGTAATAAAACTCCAAATGTTTTATTGGCACATCGTCTACTGTTGTGACAGACCATTTCTGAAGACTTGCTTAACTTGTCTCCCAAATTCACTTGATTCGAGTGTTGTCAATTTTTACCAACAAGTAAACTTGATTTGATTCTTTCAATAAGCAACAATAATGGTAAAAGTCATAAAAGCAATAAAATATGAATGTTCTATTGGCACAGCGTCTACTTCCATGGCAGTGATGGAACTCCCGCTCGTCGCCTATGGACGTTCTGAAAAAAAAAAGGTCAGAATTATCAGGGATGAGCTGTGGAATGATTTAGCAAAGACTTGGTTTGTTACAGGAGCGATGATGATCTGCCGCTTATTCTGATGGGTACTTAACCCTTGTCCTGCTGAGCGCAACATATATTTTTCTGCACATACAGTACCATCTATATAGCACCCTGTATGGGTACGATTTGGGGGTATTTCTCGTGCAACGCATCACACCGCAGCGAAACGCAACGAATGCAGAAGTAACTATGCCACTACAGGGCAAAAAAATCGGGGGTCTATGATCTAATTAAGACATGAAATTATTGAAAAATATTGTGCCAGGAATGTCAGCAGGACAAGGGTTTTAAGCTGTGCTGTGTTTATAAATTACTGATGATGATGATGACTGGTTTATTTACATAAACACATAAACAAACAAAGGTCTGTGGCAGCCAAAATGGCTGAATTGACGACTTCGTACAATTCAAAATCAATTCAGCCTTACAAATACTGTATATACATATGAAATACGATTTCAACAGTACTATAAAAACAGTTCAGCCGTTATAACATCCGGTATATTTAAACTTTCACATTGTTCAATAACTTTGTCATAAAGTAGATCGAGCTCTTAGTAAATCGAACAGTTCTAGGTCTGAGAGTTTGTAGCTGTATGGAAGGGTTTAAGGAAACAGTGCGGATACAGTTAGTACCTGGAATAGCCTGGCATATGAAGTTAATCCGAATGTGGCAGGTCACGTCGTTCCACTTGTCTTTAAGGGATGGAGAATACATGGTGCAATCTTCGTCGCCCTCATAGCTGTCCGGTTGTCCCGGAGCCCAGGGGCTGTACGACCCAAGTGCAGACCCGTCCATCCACTCAAACATTCCGTCTTTGCGCTGATCGTGCGGACCGAACCAGAGGGGCCAATCGTTGCTCACGGACTTGTACAGGGAGATGAGGAAGGCGTTGGTGTCCGCGTCTCGGGGCATGGCGAGGGTACCGCCGTCTGCACGACAGGCCGCGGCCGCTTCGCTGAAGTTCTTGCGTGTGTCGAAGGCCTTGTAGCAGATTTCACGCCACATTGTGTAACCTTCAGGACAAGATGCTGGGAAACAAGTTTTGTATCAGCATCAGGCCAAGGATGGGTCATGTTAGAAATCATAACATACACCCAATATATCCTTTATCAGCAATTAATATAAATAATAATTATATACTCTCAGGGCTGTATTTAATAACAAATATTCAATATGACACAGATAAACCCTGTTTTCTAGAGGCGACCCCCCCCACACACACACGCATAACATGCTTGTAAACAAACGATGTTGGAAGATGTTGGCAAACTGACCAAGATCAAGAGCAAACATAACAGCTACGTAAAGTCTTTTCAATGTCGTTAAGACGCTTCACCAAGGCGTCGGTTCGGCTGCGATCGTTGTCCAAGTCGCGTGTCAAGGCGTCAACAGCGGCAGGCAGTCGGCGTATGTCGCCTTGGTCGCACTTCGAGGCGTTTAAGTCGCGCTTCAAGGCGTCGGTTCGGTTTTGCTCGTTGTCCAGGTCGCGTGTCAAGGCGTCAACAGCGGCAGAGAGTCGGCGCATGTCGCCTTGGTCGCACTTCAAGGCGTTTTGGTCGCGCTTCAAGGCGTCAACAGTGGCGAACAGTTGGCGCAAGTCGTTTTGGTCGCGCTTCACAGTTGTCGACAGTTGAGATATTTCCTACAAGCGTATTTACCCACGTCAGATTACCGAACGTAAGAATCAAACTTGGAGAAAAACTGCAGAAAACTGTTTCTTGCATCCTGCTAAAAAAAAACAAATAAGATACAGAAAAACAGGTTTAGGTACAAGACTGTTACCTGTTTGTTGCTGAACGTCGGAGGGGCGAATCCCACGGCGCCTAGGCTCAGCAGCACGGCGATGCCGGCGGCCAGGCAGGTGCGGCGGGCGCGGAGGAAG